CCCGGCGCGGATCTCGGCTCCCCCCCGCGCTGTCTCCTCCTCCCGCCGGGGCGGGGGCGGCCCCGCAGGAAGCGGAGCGGGGAGAAAGGAGCCGCGGGTGCTCCGGCGTCGCTCCGCATGGAGGCGCCCGTGTGAACAGGTAACGCGGCGCGGGAGCCGCGCAGCGCCGGGCGCGGCTCGGCTCGCCCCTGCTCGGCGCCGAGGCTGGCGGCAGCCCCATCTCCCGCGGGGTGCGGAAATGAGGCGAGGGCACGGGCTCCTTCGAGTGGTTTTTTCCGCATTTCCAACCAAACCGAGTCCGTGCAGAACCAGAAGTGGGCGGGAAACTCCTCCACCCCCAGCTGGGGCTTCAGGTGCGCCCAGCTCCTCTGGCGGGCGTCCTCCGTGCAGGCCCACGCCCAGGGGCTTGGGGTTCACATGCCCCCCCCGAGTTTTGCTCGCCCTTACCGCTAAGGCTCCAGGAGCAAGCTAGGGTCTACTTGGATTTGCACCAAGTCTCTTCCCCCTCTGGCCTCATCACACAGGGGCAGAGGGGCCCCCCTGTGCCTGGCCATTGGCAAGAAGCAGTGCCATTCCCCCTTCTGCCCTCGGAGGGGGGTGGGAGAGCAGCCACGGGGTTTCAGGCACGCCACAAAGGGTCTCTCACCCTTCCCCACTTGTTCCTTGATGAGACAACTGCTTTCCCTTCTAAGTGTCTCAGGTGCCAGGGAGGAAGGACAGTCCCAAGGGCATGACTCACGGTCCCCCACTAGCTCCAGCCAGTTCCACCTCTTCCAGGGAATCAAAGTTTCCAAAACAGGAAGAAACAAGGGACCTCACAATAGGGCTCTCCAGTCCGTCCTCCACCAGACCCTACTCTTCTATTCAGACCCAGGCTTCAAACAAGCAGTTGCACAGACCGTCTCCCAGGGGCAGCCATCCCACACCAAAAGGGGGGACCTAGGTAGCCAGCAAATTATCTGAGCGGCCTACCTGCAGCCGGGCTCTCCCTCCCACGGCAGCAATCCACTTTTCTTGGTCAGCAGGTCTAGCAGGGTGGGGTTGTTGCAGCTCACACAGGCCCCCATGAATCCCCACCTCCTGGCCAGGGGAGAATTGAGCTTCATGCCCAGTCAGGTGCCTGGGCACGTGATTAACAATTAACATCAACAGTTTACCAGGACAAAGGCAGCTATATGGAATTCACTCCATTTTACAGATGGGGAAACTGAGGCAGAGAGCGAAACCACACAGTTAGAAGGGTCTTGAATCCTGATGCGCCGTCTTGAGCAACAGTTATTAGGTCCTGCTTCCTCCAACCTATGAAAAAATCAAGTGGCAGTGGCTCATTCGCGATCCCGTTGATGTCTGTGGCAAAACTCACAGACGTTCATGGGAGCACTGTCAGGCCCTAGCACATAACAAGCAATATTTTAATCAGCTGGTTAATAATGAAATGCGTGAGCACATTAGTGCTGCATCCTGCTTAACGAGTCTCACCAGCTGGGGTAGCACAAGGACCTTGGTACAGGTTTGTATGTCTGTTTACTAAGAAATAGATCCCTTGTAGACGGTGCTTATTTGCTCGTCTTTCAGGTCTTTATGCAAAGTTCTTTCTGCAGCCGCAATATTCCTGAGAAGAGTCCACAAACTTTTAAAATGATTTATGCAAGTTGTTTGCTAGTCCTTGGAGGGGGCGGTAATTGGCAACAGGAAAATATAGCAACACTGCATCAGGGAATGGAACGTGCTGCATCAGGAGCCGTGTGTCTGTAGCTCCCTTCCAGTCTTTTGCCTGCTATAAAGAAAGCAAGTAGTTGCATGTTGAACCCCACTCCCCCGATTCTCTTGAGAAACAACGCTTCAGTTGTGAACAGTGCATCTTACAGCCTAGCTAAGAGGGCAGGAAGATTGGGGAATGGTTTAGACAGACGAGAACACTTGCAAAGGGTTCTGCCCGGGTGCTGATGGGTGAGACTGGAGCATGGCAGTGACTGACAGCTGGGCTGATCCCATGGCTGTTTATCAAGAAAACAGTTTGTTGGGACAAGTATCTGAGACACACAAAAAAAATCACCAATATTGGCAAGAGATTGGCCAAAGACAGAACAACCCTGCTAGTGATCCTATCTCTGAACCGCACTAGAAGGACAGTGTATAGCAGCAAGCCTCAAGCAGGATACCATAGCACCCTGGGGTGCCTTAAGCTCCTTTCAAGGATACTGCAGGGTGCCACACAATACAAGCACTGTAAGGTGTGCAAACATGATTCACAAGACAAATCCAGAGATTTCAAACAGGAATCCATTGTGTTAAAAACCTGCTGAGCTCTTTGCAACAGAAGAATTGCTCCAGAATTTTTCTGCAGTCCAAAAAACAAGTCAAAACCAAGAACTGACATCTTCCAAGGGAGGCCTCGAGTCTATCAAAGAGTGCCTCGAATCTGAAAGGGTTGAGGACCATTGGTGTATAGAAAAGGTCCCTGTTTTATAGGCACAGGCAGGATTTCAGCCCATTGTCTTTCATGAGCAGTAAGCTTTCACTCCAAGAACTTTTAACGACACACGCAATGCATGAATAAATTCGGATTCTGCTCTCACTCTAAGCTGCTGATGTGACAAGGGACTAGTACAGGGAATGAAGAGACATAAAATGAGCCCTATCTGTGTGCAGAAAAACATCCCTCTGCCTATTAAAGGGCCTGCTTGCACTTCGCTTTATCAGCTATTAGATGCTGGGCTAGCTGTGCCAGGATAACCATTCCTCTGATCCTAAAGTGTTTGTACTAGTAGCTGTGCCTGGCCCATTACCTGGAGGAGAATTCCAACAAGGTGTTGTACCACAATAGATCTTACCTGTTGCAGGTTGTATGAGGTACAGCCAGGTGAGCTGGCACTGACATTAACTTGTTCCCATTTACCTTTGTTCAGGCAGCAGGCCTGGCAATGAAAATGTGAGAGTCAGACACCCAAGGAGAAGAACCTGGCTTGCGATGAGATGCCGTGGGTGGCAAAGGTGGTTAATAACTAAAGCAGGGGTGCATCTTAATGGGAGAATAAATGCACATCAGTAGCAAGTGAATACATATGGGAAGCATCATGGGCTTGGCAGTTAGCTAGATGAAACAAGTAAAGCGCTGGGCTGCGCAATTAGGGGCAGAAACAAATTGACCTGTAATTTTCCATGCTTGTGCTTGTGAGGCTCTTCATGCTGAAGACAGTCCTGAGCCAGAAAGTTCAGAGCTGTTTGCTCACACTAAAGGGCCAGGCTATGAACTGAGCAGAAGCATTTGCAGAGAATGAAGCTGTACCAATCATCCTCTCCCCACAGCCTTCCTCTGTTTATATAGGCTTTCAGACCACAAGACATCAGGGTAAATACTTGCTGTTTTGCACAGGTGCTGCACAGCTCTGTGTGGCCTCAGCTTGGATCAGGCCTTTTTTATTTGCTACTTTAAATGCTTAGTCATAGGGGAATGACCTCGCCTACATCACACATGCATGCTTATTTATCATCCTATTAGTTTACAGAGTGGATATTTCAGTACCGGCTGGAAGCTTGAAATTGTCTCCTTGACACCACTGTGTTTTGGACTTTGAGATATGAAGTCTGATTGGATTGTTTCAGGAATTAATTAACAAAATATTGCCCATAAAACTCTCCCTGAGAGACAGACTCTTAAGACATTGGGCAGCCAACATCAGAGTTAGTAATAGCCACACTGTTGCTTTCCACAGCTAAAAATATGTCACCTAAAAAAACCTCAAACAAAAGCCAAGCCAGATCAGTGCATATTGCAAGAGGGCTGTGAGGTCCAGCCCCGGAGTCAGGAGACTTATACTTTATTCCTTTGCCCATGGCTCACTGCATGACCATCAAATTCTCCATCAAACTTGGTTTCCCCATCTGTAGCACAGGGATTATAACAGTCACCCTCCTTTGAGCAGTGTCTGGGGATTCACAGGTATAATGGGCTGTTGTGCAGACTGGTTGGGATTCCCCTGTAACCTGAATGTCACAGAGATCAAAGTCTGGCCAGCTGCCAGGGGAAAGTATTGGAGTGACCTGGGTGTGGGGAATCTCCCTATTAGGGTTGCCAGCCCTCCCAGATTGCCGATTCGGGGAGACTCCCAGCCATCGATCTCCTGGTGAGCACTGAAAGCAATCTGGGAGATTTCCCCCCCCCCCAACATGATGATTAATTTCATTTTCTTAAAATATCCTATTAAACTCTCCCAGAATAGCATCAGTCAGAGTTGGCAATTGTACTCCCTACTGTTTCATTCTGCTGGCCCCCAAGAGAGGGACCCTGGGAGCTAACCCAGGTTTGCCTTTAAGGCTTAAACAGGAAAGTGAGAAGAACAGGGAGTTGCCTAAAATAGCTGGCAAAGAGGATTTGCATAAAGCTTCCTAGTATAGCTAGCCTGCCCTACTCAGTAGAGCTGTGTATGTTTTCTATTACTCTTGGCGTTTGCATAATTTTGGTTCGCTCCTCCACAGGAGGATTCTGTGACCTTAGCTCCCACCCGGTAAGGGGACTCTGACTGCCGAGGGTAGAAGGGAAAACAAGCGATGGGAGGGAGCCGGCAAGGGCAATTCATACCTCACGGAGGTGGAGCCACTTCTATACCTGGCCATGTGCAAAGCCTTGTGAAATAAAAGGGGAAGGCAGCACTTTCCCAAGGAGGCTGGTGCTGGGAGTCTGCAATGAGAGGAAGTTGTTGTGAAACACGCAAGACAAACAGCCGTGGTTGTAGAAGGTAGCAGCTCTCCTGAGCCCACAGTGAAGGCAGCTCTGCTGTGAATAGCCCTGTATCCTACCAGGGGCTGTACAATAGCTGGGCTCTTTTCTTTGACAGGTCAGCTTGGCAGAAGGTAAAAGCAGACATGTCCGGAGGGGGAGCAGTGCATGGGACTTCCAAGGCACAGGACCGAGGATGGGCCTGGATCGTTCTGGCGGCCACTGTGCTGGTTCAGGGGCTAACACTGGGCTTCCCCTCTTGCATTGGGGTCTTTTTCACTGACCTGCAGCATGAGTTCCAAGCCACCAACAGCGAAACATCGTGGTTCCCATCCATCATGACAGCATTGTTACATGCAGGAGGTAAGTAAGATACCAAGCAGCTACTTTCATCTTCTCCTGCTGAAGGCACTGGGCAGGGGGTCATTAACTAATGAGCATGTATTACAGTAGCTCCAGGCTGGGAACCAAATGTCACAGGGGACGGGAAAGGGGATACAGCCCAGGTATGAATCTGGATTCAGGCTGCTTGTGACCAAAAGCTTTTCATTTGGCAGCACCCGTGAAATGAGCCCAGGGTGTCTCTGACCAGGTCCCACCACCACAATCAGCCTTTGGTGGCAGTCACAAAGGTTGATTGGGACATGGAGACTGAACTCCTTTCTCAATTGTCTAGATTGTGCTGGAGGCACATTGGCAGGGAGAGAAAGGCTTAAGATGCTGACTCCCTTTCTCACCTGTCTTCTCCAAAACAGCCAAAATGCACTGCCTTTTGCACAACAGTTCCTTGGCTAGTGCATCTGATACTCTTACCCTCAGACTGCCCCTTCCCTCTCTGCGCCCATTTAGAGCATGTCTCTCTGCCTATACCACACCATACTCTGCCTTCCATGGTGTACAAGATACTAAGAGGCTTTTGCTGCCTCCAGAGAGACCCCCAAATACAAATCAACTGGATTAAAAGCAGCTGACAAGCAGCTGTCAGTTAAATAAGGACAGAAGTTAATGTAGCTCAGTGCCCAGAGATGGAGAAGACCATGTTCAGAGAAGTACTTCCTGCCTGCACAGTATCCCTGGCCAGTGTGGACAGGGAATTTGTTTCTCAGGACTATGCTAGCCAAGCTGTGCTATGCAGTGCGGGCCAGATTCATCTCTGCTGGGAACAGGAGGTGGAAGGAGAATTGCTTTCTGAGTATGAAGGAATGATTTCCCTGTGAGAGGAGAAATGGGGTCCTCTCTAAGTGATGACTGCTTTAGTTTCTGCTGTTCCGTCACGCCTCACCAGTACAGCAGGTGGGAAGTGCTTATTGGAGGTCCCTTCACAACTAATACCATCCCTTCCGAGGTTGCCCTTGTGGTCTGTGGGGACTCCCGGTGGAACAGAGGTTGTGACCATCTTACGCTAACACCACCTGGCACACTTTCCACTGCTGGGCATCCAGTGCCTTCATGTGTGCCAGGGGAAGCTGGAAGGCACCAGAGATGAATCCAACTTTATTTTAAGAATATGAGTTCTAGCTGGTACTTGACACTGTGGAGCTAGTGCTCTCCATTCTTTAGCCAACTGGCCTGTTGTGGTATTTAAACCATTTAGACATTTAGTGGCTCTTTGGCCTCTACATGCCCTTTGGACCAAGCCATCTGCTTCTTTGGAGCGGCTGCTTCAACAGAGCTCCCAGCCCAGCAGTTTCCTGGGTCCCTGAACTCTGTTCTTCCAGCTGAGGCACTGACTTTGCCTTGGCACTACAACCAAGTGCCAGAGCATCATTTCTGTGGTTCTTACCAGAAAGAGGTACAATGCTGTGGGCACCTGCCCCTCCCTCCAAAACAGTCATCAGGTAGGTGTCTTTGCTGCAGAGATGGCTTGGTCTACAACACTTGCTAGTCAGTGACTTGTGTAACTCCTGACTCCAGAATTAATTGTCTTCTCAGGGACACTAAAACCCACATTCCCCACCTGTGCCAGGAGCATAGGAATCAGCACATGATCCCTGGATCAGGGGGAGTCTGGCACCACAGCCAAAAGGGAGCTATGAAAGATTAATAAGGTAGCAGTCTCAAGAGGGCACTTTACTTGATCAGAGAATTCAGTGGTCACTAACTAATTAATTGTCAGGGCCCCCTCGGGAGATAGAGGAAGTACCAGGAGCTGCCTTTCACCAGTGGGGAAACTGAGACATCAAGGAACTAAGCAACTTGCCTGGTGTTAGCAACGAAGCAGGATTTAGAACACACATGCTACTCCCCTTGCACACCCAGGCCCAGTCTCTTCTCTTTCTCTGTAGCAGGGAGCTATATATTAGGGAGCCTTCACAGACATTAAGGCCCAGAGGCAAGGGATTTAGGTACCTAATTCTCTTAAAGTCAATGGGACTTAGACACCTGGATCAGGTTCTTTGCTCTCTCACCTTTAAACCCTCCCAGAGATTCACTTCTAACAGGATATACACAGGAAAAAAGGCAACCATGACTATGATTATTGTTTTGCCGTTTTTGTATATATATAATTGCACTTCAAACCCTTCTCATTGTGCTGCTCACAGGCCTTCACCAAGTGACAACCTTATCTTATCACTGTGACCTCTCCCTGCCTTCCTCTAACTCTAGTCCATTTGTTCTTTTCACAGATAAAAAGAACGTGTCTTTTTATCTGTGCCATGAGGTACTAATTAGACTTTTGTCCATTAGAATACAATGAAGAGTAGTACACTACCCTATTAATATACACATATGGAACACAGTGAGTGTGTGCATACACTATGTCATTAGTGACAGACATGTATGCACGTATCTGTATGTACCTATGTGAGCACACTCAAAGCATTACATAGATAAACTGAAACTACTGGTTTATAAAACTACTGGTATATAAGCCTTGCAAATGCTCCCACATGTCATTCTTCCCTCAAAGGCTTCTGGTTGCATTTAACTGTTTTATGGAGTTAAAGAGTATCCTACAACAACACACAGAATGGCCCTTGGGTGTTTAGTAACACAAGAAAACAGAAAACCACAAAGAAGCTTTGAAAAGTTCAGATCCTCAAAAGGGACTCATTTAGTTATACTCATGGCGAGGATACAAAAGCAAAACATAACTGCTTAATGTTATCTTTGGGTGCAACAGTGCTCCAGAAGAGTCTGGAGTGGGGAGATGGACCTGTAAGAAGAGGTTATAAGAATAGGCAAGGGTAGGGAGATTGACCTGTAAGAAAGAGCTATAAGAATTTCCTACAGTCATGTACTTCTTGGTGTAAGCTCCATGGGCATCAAACCCTGGGTACACTCAGCTCCTTCTGCATTGGTCTTGGCTAAAAAAAAAGAGGAAAAAAAGGTTATTACATAACTCAGCCAAGAGGAGGAAAAACAGTTAAGCTGAGTCCTGGCTAAATTATTAAATAATGGGCTGAAGCCAAGTAAGGGAATAATGTAGGCTGGGCATTGGGAAAAATTTCCCAACAATAAGCTAGCATAAGGATTGCTTAGTTCCCAGGGGAAAGCAGTGGTGGGAGTCAGGATAAACAAAGAGCTCGGGAAGGATCCATAAGGCGGAGAGTGGATTGAGGAAGGGAATCTCTTTCAGGGCTCTTAGTAGGATTTATCCATCACTAACTTTTAGACACTGGGATTCAGCAGTAGTTAGAAAAGCCCTCTTTCCAGCAGGGAAAGGATGTCCCACCCTTTGGACTTCTCTTAGAAAAGCTTCTGCTGTGGGTCTGTGATATTAAAGAATATGAGCAGCTCTGCTACTTCAGTAAGAAGGCTGGAAGGACTCCAGATAGGAGAGGGGGGTGGAGGTCTCCAGTGGCATCACACCATCAAGCAGTGCCAAACCCTTCCTTGGTGGAGCTCCCCCTGGTAGCTCCAGCCCACTAGAGCATCTCTGGGGAGTCCAGACATACTGGTGTTTGCCCCAGCTCTGCAACCAGAGCACACAGGTCAGAATAGCAGGCTTTCTCCACCCCAACGTGTGCCCGACTCCCAGGCGACAGCCAGAATCTAGCCCAGCCTTTCAAAAGCTCCCTTTGACTTCATGATATTTATGGGGATGGAAGAAAGAAAAATATCCAGCCAGCTCTAAAGCACCCATTTAAATGGGCTGTGCCTTGCAACACCCTCTCTGCATGTACCCTGTGCTTGTTCTATGAACAGATCACAGTATGAGCTGGCACTAGGGGAAAGGGCTACAGTGTGCTACCTGGGGCTGAACATCTGAATTGTTCCGTCAGCTCTGTATGCCCCAGCACCAGTGAAAGGTGACACTTTGAAGAAAGAAAAAAAAAACACTGAGTCATGCTTATGCCAAGGTTGCACAAGGAAACCCTCATTCACCAATGGTTATCTCCTGAATAGGCCAAAGTGGATGGCTGACAGCCAGGGGAGACCGGGGTTGCAGCAAGTCCAGAAATATAAGGCAGAAAAAACAAAATCACAGGTGGAACTATGCTGAATGTAGAGAGATCCCTGTGAAAGCTCTGCAGAAATATTGAGCCCAGCGCCCAGACTCCACCACCCAGAGCACACTGCTCTCCACAGATTGAGGATCTGTGGATCCAGACTCAAATATTCCACAATAAGCAGGAGATTCTGGATGCTTGACTCAAGACAGAGAGGCTGGAAGCCTCAATCCATCTCTGGTTAAGCACCCAGAACCAGTGCCTAACTTTTGAAAACTTAGTTCATGGTGTCCAATATGCTGTCCTCCAACCACAGACATATACAGCACCTCCTGCTATCAGCGGAAAAGAGTTTATTAGGGCCCCCTGTCTTTAAAGACTTTCTTAGGCCAGGCACACTGCTGTCCTGAGCCATCCAAGCAGGTAGCATCCAACAGCATTTAGATAGCCATATTATCACTCTCATTTTCCTAAAGGAAACAACCATTTCCTGACAGCTCAGCACCATAGTTCAGGGTCAAGGGAAGAAGGCCATTAAACTGATCAGGAAGCCATAAAATGGAGAGGGAAAGAACAGCATGGCAGTTATTAAATTGACCATCAGAACAGTAGCAGAAGGGCATGTGATGAGACAGGGCATAACCAGCCAATTCCAAGCCAGATGCGTCTACTCTGCAAATTTATGTCTCAGTGTTCAAGCTGCTAAAATGCGGAGGGACACATTCTTGCTCACGGACTCTGGCACAAAGCAGTACACACGGCTGGCGTGTGAAGCAAAACCCAAATAAAATTCAGGGAAAAAAGAACCAGGCTTAAATTATTTTGTTTTTCTCCCTTCCTTGTTATGACACTTAACTCAAGGGGGGAAGGAAGGGGGAGGAAATCAAGCTGTGACCATTTCCAGCAAATGGAGGAAACAAATTGAAGAGGGAACCAATAGAAAAGTTCCACTTTCTAGACAGACCTTGTCATCATCAGTGGTTTTGCAAAGGTTACTCATGCAAAAGAGAGCTGAGTGAAGTTAATGCCTGCCTTGTATTAGGTTCTTGGGACCTGTTGCTCATAGCTAGTTTTCCCCATTTAGCAGATTGGCAAATGCACTTCCAGTACTTACTACACAGGCCAGGAGTTCTCCGGTGGCATGTAGCACATTCAGATTGCATCAGTAACAGAAAGTCTCTCTCAGGAACCATCAGCTGGACAAAAGCAGAAGGACAGCTGGTGTAGCATGGGCTCATCACTACTGTACTTTGCATCTTCCATGGCTCCTAGTCCATTTCTGGTACCTATACAAGGCCACCTTCTCCAGAGCCTTCAGCAGGCTGGAGGACCATCCACATGACCTGACAAAACAGCGGTTCTGTTTTGGGACAATGTAGAATAAAATGGAAGAGAAGCAAGTTGATGGTCATCTCAGTCAGGGGTGGAGGGAGGGGGCTGTAGTGAGGGGGGGGTTACAGGAAGAAATTAGACTTGAAGCCTGACAAATCTCAGAACGTGCTGCAAGATCCGCCTTTTTGATAGTCTTTTCACCATGATTGGCAGGATTTAAATATATGCTGACTGAGGCTTTGAAACCTGTCAGTTCAGCTTTGGAAGTGGAATAGGGCTTCTAAGACATCAACAAAGCCTCCAGCAACATATATAACTCTCAGCAAAACTCTCTAAAAACTGGTAAAGGCAAGGAGCAAAGTATTCCACAAAATTCATAACTGAGCAGACAAATCCAAGTTTACCAGCGCACTGAGTCTCTCTAACGCCAGTAGCATTGTGGAAGTTTCTAAGACAGTGGTTCTCAACCAGGGTGCCATGGCATCCTGGGGTGCCTTGAAGTTCTTTTAAGTGTGCCACAGCATGCCATGCAACGCTAGCACTGTTAGGTTTGCAAATATGATTCACAAGATAAATCCAGAGATATCAAATAGGAATCTGCAGTGTCAACAACATTCTGACCTGTTAAGGGCTTTCTGAATTCTTTGCAACAAGACTTGCTCTAGTATTTCTTTTTTTTGTAGTCAAAAAACAAACTAAAAACTAAGAGCTAGCATTTTCCGGGGGGGAGCCTTGAGTCTAACAAGGGCTAACTTGAGTCTACAAAGCTTGAGAACCACTGTTCTAAAAGTTCAGTAGATAAGACAAGCATGAGGAAGATCACTTGAGAGATCACATGTTGTCCCTGATCTTGGAAACTCAGCCTGAGCAGATTCCTTCTTCCAAGATGTTGAGTCAAGCAGAACTGTCTCTGCACTGTGTTTTGTCCTCATGTAGCTGTAGGGCTTGAGTCAGTCCATTCACTTCATCAGAATCATCCAGCTTTGCCCCTGTGTAGACAAGAACAGCATTAGACCCTCAGATTTTACTAATGTTGTCAACTCTTGTAAGTTTAGGACCAAACTAAAAAAAAAACGAAAAAACCAAAAATCCCACCTTACTTTAAGTACATGAAAGCTGAGATTTCAGGGTGGGGCTTTAAGAAAACTGAATCTCAGCTTTCTGCTTCTTTGTTTTTTTAAAGTTTTTAAAGCCCTGAGGGCTGTAGGAAACAGCTTGAGAATGTGAAGCATGCCCAGAAAGCTCAAAAGCTACCAGACATTTTTAAAAAGAACCAAATATTTATTCTTTAGAGAGAATTCTCATGGCTTTGTTTTAACTTCTCGGGCTTGCAGCACTGCTCCAGCAGCCTGCAGTTCCTTCTGTGGGAGGGAAAATCATTCTGGCCACCACACTGCTGAACCTACCAATTACTTTTTCAAAAGCTCTAAACAGGTGAAATCTCTCATGCAGATCAAAATACAAGGCAGCTGCAGCCTGCACGTTAATCAAATTCAGCTGCTTGCTTGACTATTATGGATTTTGTTTCAACCAGCACATTGTTTTTAGGATAAAAAATTTGCCACTGGTTATTTTCCCACTCTGATCAGTTGCGGATGTCCGTGAGCATTTTGCAGTGGCTTATGCAATGCTAAATTTTAAAAAAACCCTCCTTTTCAGAACAAAAGGGAAACTTTTATTTCTGTCCCCCTCCCGATGGACTCCAGGCCTTTGAAACAGAAGAGCCTGTTCCTCCCTCAGCATTTCAGGGCTGTCCTGCCCTGCCCCAAAGACAAGTGCCCTATAATTAGCAATATCAACATATTAGCAGTTTGCCAGCAGCCTGGCAGCATAAATTTACATTAATAACTAAACAGAGATGCTTCACGTCCATACTTGCTTGGACATTGTGTTGCTGGATGGAATTTGTTAGCAGAACGCACCAGCAGTGCAAACAGCAAACCCCAATATCCCATTTGAGAGTAACGGCAAATCTGGCTTCTGACATAGGTGAAGCATTAGTTGCTGTGGGCTGCACTGCTGATGCGTAGGCTAGGTACAGGAGTGCTGGGTTCAATCATTAGCTTGGATGACCTTCTCTGGCACGCAGCTATTCTGAAACTTGTCAAATGCATGGGGATTGGCAGGCATAAAGAGCTGTAACTTGGCATTAACTTGGCATTGTTATTAGATTCCATGGCAGATGAAGGGGTGGGCAGCTGGACAACTGCACACATCACAGGTTGGATACTGGGGACTGCAGAGGTTCAATTTTGTTCTAACACAGAGCAGAACAAGCCATTTGGTCTGTTTCTAAATCATCCTCTTTGAGGGCACTTGTCATCTTTCTCCCATTCTTGCCTTCCTTTGGGCTGGGTCTGTCCTCCTTTCAAAGGGCTCTCATCCCCATGGGAATATTGTCAGTCCCAGTGCTCCTGACACTTCAGGTGCTCTGTTGCTTTACTGTGAAAGGCTGAGATCTCAGAACGCTTTTCCATCTCTCCATCTCCAAGTTGAGTCCTGGAGTCAGAGAGTGCTGGACTCACCCTTAACCACAGCAGTGGAGATTCAGGGCTATGGCATCACCTACTTGAATAGGAGAAACTCAAAGGAGGTAGTCAAGTTTAGGCTTTAATCAGCAAAGCACAGATGGGGGCATGCCCCCAAGCATGAGTTCTGGAGCTGACTCTGAATGAAGTGGGGAGGGAGGGAGGAAAAGGGGCTTTTTCTGAAGGTGGGAATCCAAGATCTGGATGGGAAGAATCATTAGATTCAGCCTAGGAATCCTGTGACCAATTGCTATAGTCTTTGAATTAGATCTAAACCCAAGGGGGCAGAATTTGGACCCAACTTCAGACTCTTCCTGTATTCAAGCTTTGGCAAGGCCCTGATCAGCACTTCTCCCACATTAATTCACTAACCCATGCCAAGCCCCTGAGAGCAGGAATTACTCCTGTCCCTTTTTCCCTCTGAGGAAACTGGGGCACCAAGCAGGCATGTGACTTGCCAGAGTCACAAAAGAATTCTGCATCAGAGCTGGAATAAACACCTTCCTTCTTCTTTATCCCAGTCCAGCACCTGCTGTGTTGGTCTGAGTCAATCTCCAGGTTTATAGCCAGGCACAACATTTTCCTGCACTCCCTGAAGGTTGAGCTGGCTCTTCCGAGGCAGCACCTCCCAGCTTCAATGGATGGGACCCCTCAGCCAAAATCAGCATGGGAGTTGGTAGGAAGTTCCCAGGCATTGGGCCTTATTTGCAAAAGGGCTGTTTTTAGTTGGCTGGATTTTCTCTTTATTTCTCTTCAATCTGTTTTTTCTCTTCATTTTTTCTCTCAACTGGTTCTTTCCACCATTGTCTCCCCTTCTTACCTTCTTTGTTCATACCAGAACTGTTGGAGCATCACTGAGATGCTGCAGTCCCGCAGCACTCTTGACTTTGGGGGTGAACCCATCACCCAACTGGAGAGCACTTGAGAGATGCTGGCAAGAATTTAATACGGAGCACTTACACTGTCACAGCACCATGCACATGTTTCTGCTGTATCCTCCTTCCTAGAGAGACATCCCTGGAGGGAGAGCTCTGCGCCAAATGTATTCCCCATGACCACAGAAATCCAGGTCTTCAAGGACATGCCCAGAATTTGTACGTCATCAGCTCAGAGTTCCCTTCGTGATTGCTCCTCTGTCTCCATGCAGAGCTCCCAGAATCCTCCGCAGGGAAGCATGGCAATCCATTTGTTATACTTGTCCTACCTAAAAGCCAGTAGATAATCAGATCTGGGGAGCCTTTGCCTTGACTAACACAAATTGAGCAAGAGCATGGAAGGGTCAGGAGTGCTGGTTTCTATTCCTGGTTCCTCCACCAAATCGCTGTGGGAACTGGGAGGATCATAAGGGAATTCTCAAGCGAGTCATGCTGCATGCCACAAGTGACCAAGGAATCCAGGTCTCTATAGGCCCTGGGGGCTAAAACCCAATGCAGAATTGTTTGTCCATCTTGAATTTCTCTCTGGACACTTGTTCATTTGCTTTTCAGGCCCCCTCTGCAGTGTCCTGGTCGAGCGATTTGGCTGCAGGTTCACAGTGATGCTGGGGGGTCTGCTCAGTGGAGTGGGCATGGTGTCCAGCTCTTTCTCCAAGTCCATCAGCCAGCTCTACATAACAGCCGGCTTTATCACGGGTGAGTGCTAAGTTAGGACATGAGGCCTCAGTCACTGCCCTTGTTGGGATTTGGGTGTTGAAAGTGTTGGGGAGCGGTGTAGAAGGAGCAGAGCCCGGGCTGAATGTTCGGGTCTTTCCCTCATCCAGCAAACAGGACCGATCAAAATACGCACAAATTGGTAGGATTAATGGGCTGAATAGCCAGCAGCCTCTTGCACTTGCCTATGGCACATACTATTCAGCTAGGCTCGTTGGAAACAGCTTCTCCCACAATTCCCCACAAGGATACACATCTCTACAAGAGAGAAATGATGAACAAAGATACTACCATTTTTAGAAGCTGGGTGGTTTTCTGGTTTTGAGGAGAGGGAAGGTCATATAAGGGGGCTGATTTTTCTGAACTTAATTTCTCCGAAACTGCAATGTGGTACACTGGGAAAAAATCCATGTGGGTCCTGTGTGTTCATAGCTCACCCCTCCCTATTCAGAGAAGTCAGAACACACCCTTTTTCGACCAAAATGATATTGAAACTTCCCCCCCGCCAAGTGATTCTCAACCACTTGCGGGGGTGGGGGGTAACATGGGGGTGCCTGATGTGGGAGACGATAAGCTCAGGGTCAGGCTTGTCCCTACCTGACTGCTCCCCTGCCCCTCTTATCCAGCCCCTCTGCAAGGATGCAAGCACTGTACTAAATACATTAGTTTCTGAAATGGGGTGCCACTTAATCCTCAAAAGTTATGGAGAGCTCTCAAGTCTAAAAAGGTTGAGAACCACTGCCCTGAATATTTCTATTATGTGTCCATTAAGGGACTCTCCCTCTTTTTGTAGCACAAAGTCATGAATTTCTGCAGTCAAGTCACCCTGGGACTCAGTCTCACTGGATCTTTGCGAGCAAAGCAGGGAGATATAGGCAGACATACTAGTCTGAAGTCAAGTACAAGATGCAGTAGATTTGTGCCTTATAGATTAACTAAAGTAGGTATCTATATAATATAAGCTTTTGTGGGCTGTAGCTCACTTTATCAGCTTCTGAAGCAAAAGCAGGGTCAAAGTTGATGATCACTGCAACAGCACAGAAAACCCATCAGCAGGAAATACCATTCCATTCTCTAAGTTAGTAAAATGACTTAATGAAGGCAAGTCTCTATCACGGGAGTAATTATCCTGGTACCATTTTGTCAAGATCAGGGGTTTTGGGACACATTTCAACTTGGATGAGAGCATCCAGCTCACCTAAAATTGCCTGAATCTCTACGTAAGATGCTGCTTTTTATATCATGTGCTGAGCTACTAAAAACTCGTGCACAGTTACAGAGTGGTGGCTGAGGTAATTCGTGGGCACGGCAGAGGCTAATGATCCTTCAGGCAGAAAGGTGCTTTGGAAACCTAAAACATTGCTATTGTTTTCTCTCTTTTTTTCAAGGCCTGGGATCATGTTTCAGCTTCCAGGCGGGAGTGACCGTGCTGGGATACTACTTCGTGCGCCGGCAGGCCCTGGCCAATGCCGTAGCATCTAGTGGTGTTTCCATTGGTCTCACGCTGTGGCCCTTGATTTCCCAGTACTTGCTGGATGAGATGGGCTGGAGGAACACTTTCCTCATCTTTGGGGGGGTGCTGTTGAACTGTTGTGTCTGTGGAGCCATCATGAGGCCAGTCCAGCTCGAATCTCCTAGTCCTAGACAAGTGTCAAGGGAGACAACAGAGGGGGCACAGCTATCCAATGGGGCTGGCCCTCACCCAGCAGAGCCCCCGCAGCAGGGCAAGTTTGCTACTTGCTGCCGGATGCTACAAAAGTACTTGGCCTTTGACGTCTTCTACAAAAACAAGGGTTATCAGATTTATACCATTGGTGTGACCTGGATGGTGATGGGCTTTGTGCTGCCTCTGATCTACCTGGTTCCTTACGCCACCCGGAATGGGGTAGAGGAGCGCAAGGCTGCCCTCCTCATCTCCATCATTGGCTTCATCAACATTTTCATGCGCCCCATGGCTGGGCTGCTCTCAGGACTCAACATCTTTGCTGGGAGGCGCATCTACCTGTTCAGCCTAGCCGTGCTGCTGAATGGCCTCAGCAACCTCATCTGCATCATCTCAGCGGACTTCAGCGTGCTCGTCCTCTACTGCCTCATCTACAGCGTGTCCATGAGTGGCATTGGAGCACTCGTGTTCCAGGTGCTGATGGACGTGGTGGAGATGGACAGGTTCTCAAGTGCCTTGGGGCTCTTCACCATCCTGGAGAGCATCACCATCCTCATTGGGCCACCACTTATAGGTGAGAAAAGTTTGCTGGCTGGGGAGAGGATTGATAGGGCCCTGAAGCCAAACCTTGGGAGGTGTCAAGTGGAGGGAGGGCGAGAGGAATTATCCCATTTCCCTAGGGTCCTGGGGAGGGAACATCATTAACAGGAGCTTCATCTTCCCTGGTGTCTCTAAGAGGAGGGCTTGCAGTTGGATTCCTTTTAATCACCAGAGGGCAGGGAGAGGTAACCTGACTGGCAGACAGCTTCAATATCCAAGAAGGTGACAGGTTTTTGGATCTTCACTGGCTGGTAGACAGAGACTGAGAAATATTCACAGGGCAGGATCTCTCACCACTTCGCTTACTGCACCAGTCTCTACCTGTCCCTGGAGGCTTCTTAGCATGCAGTCCAGACAGAACAGTCTGATCACAGAATCACAGAAAACAAGGGTTGAAAGGGACCTCAGGAAGTCATCCAGTCAAACCCCCTGCTTAAAGCAGGACCAGAAGTGTAGTAGGTTCTGTGTCGTGCAGGACACCTACAGTAGGAAGGGGAATGTGGTTGCTTAGGCATTTGGAGCCACTTCTGTCTCTCCCTGTTGTTGGCCCCATGAATTAATTCTATTTTCTCTGGGAGGAGGAAAGGAAGCAAGGATTGCCATTTGCCCCATCCCTTCAGCCAGATGCAGTTCACCTTGAACCCCATTAGGTGTCCTGTTAACATCTCTGTTGTTCCTCCATGAAGTAGCACTGCAGTGCAACAGCAAGCAATGCAACAAGTGACTTAAGAGACAGGAAACTGGCACTGAATGTGAATCTCAGGCTAAGGACCTGAGTCCCTGACACACTAGGAGCTGAATGAGCACTGGTGAGGGCACTGCTAATCCCTAGAGAATGAATTTTGTGTCATTCAGCAGCAACCCCTGCTGCAGTAACAGTGTTTGAGGATGCTCCTATTCTCTATCGGTGCCACTGATGTAAAGCAGCAAGTGGGGATATCACTTGTTATGAACATGCTGAGCCTAGGCCTAGATCCTAGGCTTAATCTCTCAACAGGTTGCCTAGAAATGTCCCAAACACTGGGCAGAGCCAGAGCAACATGGTGCGGGACTGAAGAGACCTTGTGAGCTTGGGAGAGATGTAAAACATGGCCAGAGATAGAAAAGCAAGAGATGACAGGCCTTGCATCAACATCCACAGATGTGAACCTTTGTTGCTTGGTCTAGCAGGTCACCTCACACTGATCAAATGCTGCCCTGCTACTTCAGCGCCTTCTTAAGGTGCTTTTGTCACAGGGACTACGCTATAATGGCAAAACACATGCAGCTCCTGCTGTGAAACAGAGGCAGTCTTCCAGGATAGGCTTGCTGAGACCAGGGCCATTCTAATGTAATGGCCACACTTCCTGCATACACTAACCTGCCAGGGAGTCCCAGAAGGAAAGTCATTCATGTGTGTCAAACACTTTGAAATCTTCTGATGGCAGGTGCTAGGGCAGAGCAAAGCGTTGGCACTGTTACCAGATTCTGCAAAACCAGCAGGAATGCATTTCCTGTTGCTCCATTTACACTTGCACTCAAGGAGCCTGGTGTGGACGCTCATTTTAAGAGAAAGGGCCATTAATTAACATGCAGTGTTTGGATAATGACTGTTCCTTCAACTTCCCTCACGTATTTACACCGTAATGGGCAGAGAGGACACACTGTAATATCCCTTGAATATTGCCTGTTTCCAACTAAAACAAAGGTTAGTTATTCACACACATGAAGTGCCTGCATCTGAATGGGGCTCACCCTAACTAGCCTGTCTTAAAGGCTCTACATCTTTACAGTGCATTAAAAACATGGATTAGTCTTGTTACCTGCAAATCCTGCTCTCCCTGACTATACCCTTTCATGAAGGAGGGTTTCAGTTTAGAAGCAAAACAAGTAGATTTTCAGATTTTGTAGAATCAAAGAGAAGTAGGACTGGAAGGGACCTCCAGAAGTCATCCAGTCCATCTCTCAGCCTAAGGCAGGTTCATCCCTATCCAAACCATCCCATACAAACTGTAATCTAAGCTCTACATAAAATGACTGTAAACCCTGACGCAACACAGACCTAACACCTAAACCTGCAACAGGTAAAGCAGAACCACAGCAGTCAAGATCCTACTTCTATGAAATGTCAATGTATGCTCAAGAGGTCCCAAGGACAGAGCCAGCCCCCCCAAGGCCATGCTACAAAGGACCAACCCCTGTCTGCAGCCTGTACCAACCTGACCATGGAGTAACATTCCTTCCTCATCCCAAATACGGTGATCAAGCTGACCCTAAGTGGAAGGGCAAGACCCCCTAGCCTGGAACCTTTGGCTTTTGTCCCAACAGGCGCATTGGCACAGCCCAGTCAAAGTCCCTGGCCTTGGCTGTAGCCAACACCCAATGTCTCTGAGGAAGGCTTAAAAACACGTGTAGCATAATGAAAGGGGGCTGGGGGGGTAACTGCTAAAGCCCAGAAGCCTGGGAAATCTCTATAGTAGAACATAGACACAGCCACACCTGAATCATCCCCAACCAGTGGCCATCCAACCTCTTCTTCAACCCCTCCAGTGATGGAGAGTCCACAGCTGCCCCAGGCATCTATCCCACTGCTTCACTGTTCTAGCAGTGAAGAAGTTTTCCCAGATATCCAATCTAAATTTACTTTCTGCAACTTCAAGCCATTGATCTGCATCCTCCTCTCTGCAGCAAGAGAGAAAATGTGCTTTCCCTCGTCTTTATGGCAGCCTTTCAAGTATTTGAAGCTTGCTGTATTCTCAGATTGGGAATTAGCCTATTCCAATATCTAGTGACTACTACCGATTTTTAAGGCCCCCTGCTGAGGAAACTAAATGAATAAATAAATTGCAGGAGGCTGAAGTTGTTTGGGAGTCTTCCCTCTTTACTGACTTGGCTTTTTATTGAGTAAACACTCATACAACTGCAGAAAGTCAGCCAAGTTATTAAAAAGAAATAGTCCAGCATCTGTACTTGGGAAAAGTTAGCCCATGGATGAATGCTTTTAGGCTGTGACACACTTCAGGCAGAGCTCACTGTTGGGCTGTTTTCAGGGCAGGGTTTTTTTGTTTTTGTTTTTTTTGTTTTTTTTGTTTTTTTTACTAAAACAGCTAATTTAGGGTTTAAAAAAGACATATTGTCTACACTAGCCCATGCTCCAACTTCTCCTGTAGGCATCTCTTCTTTCCTGTCTGAGGTCATAGTCTCTGCCTAGATAAGTTACCATTACTTCCCTGTCTTACCAGGCTTAGTAGTGTTGCTGTGAGCTGTTAAACACCTGCTTTGTTCCACCCCAATTGCAGCTCCATTTGATGGCGAGGTGACCTCACTGCTGTTTGTCAGATGATTTGGAGTCCTAGGCATTACAGAAGTGTAAGATGCTTTCTTTTACTGTCTGGCTAAGCCCCAGTTCTCTGTTTCAGGTCTCCTGGTGGACCTAACTGGCCAATTCAGTTACGTCTTCTATGCTTCCAGCTTCTTCATGGTGTCAGCTGCACTATTCACGGGGCTCAGTTTCTGTGCTCTGGAGAGAAAGAATAAGCTGAAAGAGGCCCCAAAGGGGACTGCAGACAGTCCCTCCAAATACCAGTACACCGAAGTGCCAAGCAAGCCAGAGGCAGAGGGGCAGGCCCCTCCTGCTGTCATGTATATCACCAGCATATGAACAAACTGGAACCCAAGGAATCCCAGGGCCTGTGCACACAACCTCAGTGGAGGCAGGTAGGAAACAAGTGCCTGCTTTTCACAGTGACCCACATCCTCCTTCTGCTGGGAGCTTCCACTTGCCGGGACTATGTCACCTTCTAGACAGAAGACCCAGAGGAAGGGACTGAACCCTAACACCCCTCATCAGCCTGCAAGCCAAAGAACAGACAGCACTTTTTTTTTTTAATGCCTGATGCGAATCACAAGGCAATGACAGAAGTCATTTGGTGACATCATGGTTAATTGAATCTAGTTAGCTTCAAGTCTATGACTTTTTTTTTTTTTAAAGGCCGATTTCTTTTTCAAGTACAGCTGTTTTTAAGACCAGAAAAGCTCTGTTAGCACATTGGCCTCTGCACTACCACAGCTTCCTGATACCAGTGACATTTATCAGTCCTGGATGAGTTACACACCAAGTCATCTTGTTTGAACACACCCTCCTGGCAAGGACTGGAAGTGAAACTTAACCACCTCCCACAGAGGGGCAGGGAGAAACACCTTCATTTCAGGGGAAAAGGCACTTCTGCCATGTCCCCCATCTCTGAATGTGGAAGTTGTTATACGGGTTGTAGAACTCAGGCAAGTTTCATCTGTCAATCGCATCTAGGCCAAGTGGTTTTTCTTACGAGCTAATGACCAAAAAAATGAGCATTCTTGCATTTCAAGGGCATTTTCAGGGAAACAAAGGTTTCAAACCAAACCCCAGGGAAACAGGGCAGACTCAGAGTGCTTGCATTTTATAGCCAGTTACTTCTCAAGTGCTTTCCTCCACACCCTCGCCCAAAAGAGCTGTAGGACAGGATCTGACAGTTCATGGCCAGCATAAACATATTAAGACACTAAAAGAAGGACCAGCACTTAGAGATGGACATTTCCTTCCCTTGCCTTGTCCAGGACCAATTATTTGAAAAAAGTCCTGGACTTGCCAGACACAGGGCCAATTTCAGCACTAATGTAACACTCAGAAGGTCAGGGTCTTCTCTGGTATAAATAGACCTAAGTCAACCCTAGATGATTGGAGTTAATGACACCCACTTTCTGATGAATAAGCGAGTCCACACTGATGTAATCTAGGAGACAAAAAGAAGTGGAAGAAGAAG